TGTTCCTATTTCCTAAGTCACGCAATGTAACGCAAATTTCGAGTCACATAATTATGGCTTCCCCTTTCCACTTATAACATATTTTTGATGACTCGAAGTTTGCGTTATAACCATGCATAAACAAAAACTAAATCGAGATATTTAAAGGGAGTAAACCTATCTAAATCTGTAAAAGAAAAAAATTAACTCATCGGAAACATACCCCTTTCAAAGATGGAAATCGCTGCTTCTTGGGCTTTTTAATTCCATTTCTGTGCCACTTGTGGCCTAAGAAAATATAGAAAGAGTATCAAAGTAAGACTAAACAAGAATAAACATGCCATCAAGCCTTACATACGCTAAAATATACTGAAAGACGTGTTGCACGGGCTAAATACTCACCTTGATTGTGGTTAGTGTGATTTTTTGACTTCGCCATATCAAGACGCGAACAATCTTGCCAAAATCCTATTAATTTTGCCAAAAATTGGTTACTTCAAAGGTCATTTAGCACTTTTATCACGAAGTCGCTCAAACTCAACAACTGGAAGTTCAGATGGTTTATTAGGGCAAAGATATTACCTGGATTGTTCAACCAAGACAAGGCAGTTTACTCAAGAAGAAAAAAAGAGAGAGAGAAAGGGAGAGCGCGGCCGAAAGGAAGTCTGGGGAGTTAGTTCCCAGTCTGTCATAAATGCGAAATCACGGTCACAGGGCAAAAGGAGGCTTGGATGACGATTTGGCATCCACTGTCTTAGGAATCAAAGACATCAAATACAGTAGTGAATGAATTTTAAACTCTGCGCATTAGAGGAAATTCCTGCTCGGCCAACGAGTTCAAATAGGCGTACTTTTCTTACATGGAGAGCTTTTCCATAACGGAGAAGATATGACAACCCTAAACTCATTAATAATTCATCAAGTTACAAACCAATCACGATACCCCAATTTAATTGGCCACATGTGTGCGTTAAGAAACCCCGATGAAACACTGGACAGAGGCTTTTCCACTATACTTTGATGAAATATCAAACCCTAGAGCTTGATAAAATGTCAAACCCCACTGATGCCAAAATCAGTCAGAATTTTTTCATTGTTCCTGGCTAATGATGCACGATTGAGAAGCAATTTCAAAAACTCGTTCTTCGTGTTTCATTGGGGTTTTCAAAAGCCTACGGCCTCGTACTTTCATCAGTTTTCTCAATCGGAAACCCCGATGAAACACTCGCACTCGTTTTTGAATTATTACATAAAACATAAGGGTTTGAAGACAGGAAATAAAAGTGAGGTGAGATCTCTTAGAAACTGAGTCACCCTACATTGACCTTCGTACAATCAACCCGCTTCCTTGTCTGTGAGCTTTCCCCAGGGAGGGTGCGTGAATACTAATTTTTTTCATGTATCTTTCCCGCCACTCCATTGGCACACGTGAGAACACGTACGCGAGCCAAAAACATTGCGGAAATCAAAGTTGTCAACGTTTCTTTTTAAAGTATGACATGAAACGCCTAAACCACACGCACAACAGAATACAGTTCTGGAGTTCATGGAGAGCGCAATCTTCTTGCTGTAATCCTGATTCGTTTCGTTTTGTTTTTGTTTTTGTTTTTGTTTTTACTTTTATTTTTAATGCACCGTAGTCTACAACAAGATCAATGTGCAAGGTTAAAGTCAGCAGTAGCAGCATCCCATGATTAACAATGAGAAACCGCAAATTTCTGCACAAGGAAAAATAGTTACTTCAAACGTGACATCCTGTTTGATACTTAATTAAACGTTTTGAAAAAGGGAAAGATTTCGTCTGTGTTCATGAATAGAGGAAAGGGATGATGGTCTATTATCAGAGAACCCGTAAGAAAGAGTCATTTACAGCATTTATGTGAAGGTTTTTATTTTTCTCACTCGTAGAGCATGGTTTTGGTCAGAAAGCGAAAGAAAACGATTACAGTTGATCACGATTACAGTTTAACAGCACGCCCAAACAAGACGACTGTTGTTGATTAGAACACTCCAATGGATTTTGCTTATACTTAAAGAATTCATTTCCGCCGGTTTGGTTTGATCAAGTCTTCCACAATTATCATTTTAATGTGTTCCCGGTCTTATTGTCAATCTTTTCCGGAATAGTTGTAATTGGCCAGTCAAATGAATCTGCCGCATGAGAGAGTAAAAAAGCAGAAGGCCTGGCTTCGAAGACTTCGAATGTATTTGATGGTTTATATGGCCATTCAGGGATGATCTAAGAATAGATTTCACGATTTTATATATTGGATGATCGATCAAGCTGTATTGGCAGAGCATATTCGGTGTTTTTTTTTTTTTCAAGTTCGATTGAGAGGGCGTGCTTAATTTTCTCGTTATCCTATTATATAAATTTTTACTAAATACCGAACAGGAATTGTTTCAACCGCATACAAATCGATACGTGACCTCTTTGTCAAAAGGGAGGGCATAGGAATATCTTGGAATCTCTTTCGAAGCTCATGCAGAGGAGTATTTCGTGACATTCCAAAGAACGGACTGAGACATTGCCACCCTACACGGGGTGTTTGTGAAGTTCTAAAGGACCATTCATTATTTATAGTC